CCAAGTCATCGCAACCGCTGTTGTGTCATGTCCCTATTTATCATTTACATATTATGTTACACGTACTTATACTAGATACGTTATCGAGCTAATAAAAGAAAAATTTATAATAAGAAAATCGGAAAATGTTGATTTCGAACATTTTACCTCAAACATGAACGTGTCGACTTGCGCTCTCAACTCATCATCGGTCAAGGGAATGTCGTCTTTCGCATTCTGGTCTAACAACAGATCCAGGAACGCTTTTCTCTTCCGCTTACCTGATGTAGCAAATTTCCTTAAATAAGGAAAATTATACGCTAGTAGAAATGGAAAGGTAAAACCCATAGTGGTTTAAATCTAATTTTTTAAAATCTATGCACACGAGTCATTAAAAAAAATTTGACTTATCATTATGGTTTTTACCCCTCCAAATATGCATAATGTATGATGTATAATTATAATTTACAATCACACCTATATTTAATTCATTGTCCTCATTGTCTGTGTAGCCGTTTTGCGATTGTCGTTCAGCCTTTTTCTTATTTATTACCTAGAGTTTATTATGTTTGTCGTAAATGTAAAAATTTTTTTAACGGAAAATACAACAAATTTAGTTAAACTCTTTGACACTATTTTAATCTTCTAAATACATATTGTTAAGTTTCTGCGGCATACCCCTTTCGTGAAGTCATGCAATAAATCAATTGTTGATTTAAATTTCTTTCCTACAGGCAGGGAATAATACAACCAATCAGGCCAATACCACGGTGTAAGCAGTCGATTAATTATTGACGCGGAGGCTCTGAAAATTCAATTAACATTTAATTCACATAAATTACATACGTAATTAATGATTGAAGTCCACCGATAATTCTTAACATTATTAAGTAATAAACTTTTAACTGTTTCACTAATAATAGCAGTAGAAGATTTTTGAAAACTGACTTGTCTACTGTTGAATGATATTTCGTTACGGTTTCTTGAGCACGTATATTCACACCCATTGCCGTTTCTACAAGATAAAAGTTGATATTATTAATGACTTCCTTATCACTTATAAAGCTAAAATTAAACTCAATACTTGTTACTTGTAAATGGTACAACAATATTACTACAAGATCTTTGTTTTATTGGTAAAATAAAAAAATCTTGCTAAATAAATTTGTTGATAAGAACACCTGCCGATATAAAATAATTTCTTCCCAGATAGCATGCATGTTGCATAAGATGTCTTTTAGATTTAAAGGTATCTTAAAGATATCTTTATGACGTCTTATGCAACATGCATACTAACGATGTTCTTGGCATTTTATTATTATTGCTTTGGTGACACAATAAGAATAACATACAAATTTTTACTATTGTAGCGAAATAATTTGCAGATTCGACAAAATTAATATCAATAAATTTAAATTAATATTTTTAGTAATTTATAATTTTTCTTTCTTACTCTTTATAAAGTAGCGTAAAATATACGTGTTAATAAACGTTTTTTTCGCAAAAAATATTGTTATATATTATATGTATAATGTATATTGTAATTGAAAATATACATTACCACAGATAACATCGAGAGCAGCATTGACAATAAGAGGGAAAACATCAACGGCTTTCCCTGAATCTCTTTCTATCTCTCTTTCGAGACACTTTATTAGGATCTCTGCTTTTTCAGATAAAACTACAGCAAATTGATCTAATATTCTAAAATGGAACGTTGGCCCAATGAGTTTTCTATCGTGGAACCATTGTTTACCTAAAACAGCATTAAAATGTGACATAATTATGTTGTAAAAATCGCAAAAGACAAAGGCAGCTACAAAATTAGGTAAAAAGATACATTGTTATCGCTTTAATTTTTAAAGTGATAGAGCAATCTCTTATTTTTCCTGTATATCAGTACACGATAATTAGTAAAGTAAATAAGAAAACTATTTCACAAGAAAATATTGCACAATGTTGTGGTAAACAACGTTAATAAATAATCAATATATGTAAATCAATAGAGTCATAAATTTAAATAATATTTAGATAGACACATGTTCTAAAATATATTATTTCTTAATTGTGTTGAGGCACATATATTTGTGATAAAATTTGTTTTGTCTTTTTACGCAGCTCATCTAACCGTGGGGAGACCCATGGATGGGGTACGTTGTGATTCCCGGGGT